CTTATTTGACATATTATAAAGTCGTGTGGATTAACTAACGTCTTATAGAAGACATTCACGATGATTGTATAGGTAAAAATGAGATCTTAAGATGTAATCAATTTTGACAGTTGAAAACGAAATGGCAAGGCCTTATTCCTAGGGCAAGGCTGTGAGTAAAGAAAGAAGGTTTGGAGCAATATTAATGCGTGCACTCGAAGCGTAAAATTTCTGGAACTCAGTTCATTTATCTTCAAAGAAACTAATTTTACAAAATATAGATAGCGTCTCACAGATTGGTGAAATTTTCCGAGTTTATATGGATAATTTTTCAGAATTTATAGAGATTGTACATAAAAGGAATTCAGATATTATGTATGAACTTTGCTAATTCTACACTGATTGACTGATTGCGGTTGTTGATTCTGATTTGTATGAGTAGGTATGTATAACCAATGCTATAGCTATATTTAGAAAGCAGTGTACGTGATGTTGCCTAATATTTTAATGATTCCAGTTTTTATAATAATCTATAGCGTCACAAGAGCACAAGGTCAAGGCTGTAGTTCATATATATACAGATTTTCCTTATCAGATATAGGTATATCGAGATTTCCATTTATCTCGACATCTATATTGAGGTATGAATCGATAAAATGTTTAAGGCCAACAATGTTTTCTACGTCTTATTTTTATCTACACATAGAAATACAGTTTTCATATTTGGAAATACTATTGATAGAGTACATATGTTACATATCGGTAGATAGTTGAATTGGGGAAAAAAATGTGTCGTGTCGTTGGCCAATTTGCTTTTACCTTTTAAACCCCCGACGCAAAAATTAAGAAATGAAATAAAATATATTTTTATAAACAAAAAAACCTTTAAATTACAAATATTCCATAGAACTATTCCCCGTCTGCTATGTTAATTTTGTTTAGCTAAGTGGGAGTTTAAATAAAAAATCGAATTCCAAATAACGATAACTTCCTTAATATTACTTAACATCAATGTGTATGTAAGTTTACATAATATAAATTTTCATGCCAGGAAAATGGCGCCAGCGAATGTTTCGAACGTAAAGAGCGGCTGAGCTCACTGGGCAAACTCCCAAACAGTTAAGTAGGATTTCATTGATAAACATGCATTTATTTAATTTATCAACAATATTTGTTTGTATTTAATGAAAGTAATAATAATAATAAGGAGCTCAACGGCGTAGCGGTTATCGCATTAGGTCTGCGATGCGGAAGTTAAGAAACTATCGCAAGGGCAGAATAGGAATGATAGGTGACCAAAGATTTATTACATCGAGTAACTCTGTGCTTCGCAAGGCACGTTAAGCCGCTGTCCCTGGATGCAACTGAAGTCGTAAACAGCCACCAATCCGCAACGAGCCTGCGTGGTGGGTCATCAGCCATTCTCCCTATCAAATTCTATTCGACTTCATAAGGTCTTTTTTTTCTCTGAGAAACGAGACGAGAAATGCATTAAACAACATAAACAGGGGATGTGTGGAATTCTCTTTCGTGAATCTACAGTGCCACAGTAGTTGGGGCATCATAAGCCTGAATAATTACGACAAATAATAATGACACAGAAGTCAAATCTAATGTAAAACAAAAAAAACCAACGGTAGTAAAAAAAACAAGTGATGCACACAAAATTAAGATTGTCAACAAAGAGCTGCTTAAAACAAACATCCTAACAAATTATATCGTTAACCTAGATACATCAACCCAGTTGTATTACGTATGCTATAAAATTGCAATGAATTTCGAAAGTTCTAAACGTCACTCTTACTAATTTGTACATAAATCTGATACATAATCATTTATCAGTAAGATATTAGAACAAAGCGGTATTGTCGTATTTTATAATCGGGTCAGCGGTATAGATTATCAGTCAATAAGATTATACATTGTTAAGTAATATCGGTTAATGCTAAGTTGTAGGATGAAACCGTTCTTAACTACCGTATCGATCTTATAACATCTAACCTTTGATATGATTTGGAAATATATGTGCAATATATTTTTTAAATATTTTACCATTCTCTAAACTACACTAAAAATTGCTAATTTTAATTTGGTTTTCTCTAAATACTATATAGTCTATACTAATTGTTTAATTTGTGTTTGTATTTATTTAACTTTTATATTTGCAACAACAGATGTCACTATTAAAAGGCTAGAATACACTAAGGTTTCGTTTGTCTAATTTTATATACATAAAGAAATATGTCATATAAATATCGAATACTACAACGATCCGTGTTTTGTTCATTTATATTATAGAGGAAAGACTTGATTGTCCTGTTTCTCTGCATTGAATAAATAGGCTCCGAAAGTACTAGACTAACTTAAAAAATAGGTTATAATTTACGCAGAGGAAGTCACGGGAAAACAATTATGTTTTCTTGAATTTCAAACGCAGCCTCAAATGTTTCGATAAATGCGTAAGTGTAACATGATGTTAATTAAAACTGTACTTAGCCACTTTGAGATAAAACTGAGATTGTATCGCCGACCGCCGTATTGTTATGATATAAATAATGCAAGAACGAAGAATTTTATATTTCTTACTAATAGTAATAATTTAGAAGAAAGTAATTGTATAGTTGACAAAATTATTAAGTCACTATTTAAAGAAATTGGAAAGTGAAAGAAAAATCCATGTCCACGCATTATACGTAAAATAAGAAAGTACAACCTACGAATTCAAAGACGAAACTTCAAAGGTCAAAACTAAATTTCACCTTTTTAAACAGTACATTGACATTCGGAATCGTCAATCGTTTAAGTGAACAGAAGAAATTCATTCTCATTTCCCGAACTTAACAATGGCTTTGTGCAACGGACAAATTTCACAATCCGCTGATCACCCCTAGAGCTGATCGAACATGGTGGTAATTTGGAGCTTGTCGCAGTGTAATACAAATGATTTACAATATTATGAAAACAATGTTATATTGAGAGAGTTAGCAGTTTACTGGTACATGTAACAATGCGGTTTGTTTACTCGGTACGCAGAGTTCAAGGTACAGGTAAGGTACTGTACAGTAATCAAGTTAAGTATTATTTACAAAGATCTCCATAATAAAATCAGTTTCATGATATCTGAGGAATACAACTAATTTATGCTGCGTCACTTCTGGATAACGTTATCTTCTAGTTTCTGATTTAATACTAGAAACTTCAAAATATTCATCACAGAGATAATGTCCTAAGCCAGCTACTGGAGCCCAATACGGATTGGTGGGTTATTCAACTAACTTCTGTAAATACAACATTTGCAATCTTATACCTACCTCATTAACATTTTGTTCGTTAAGCGTTATGTACTAATTTTACGTATACTATATTAGTGACCTACAATCAAGTGAATTGATCGGCAAATACTACTATTTTGTATTACCTCATCTGACTACATCTTACCGGGTCGTTTATTGTAGTAAACGACAATGTATTGTATATATGTACTCTTATAATTGCATTTAAGATCTGACACGTATTTATAGCTAAACTGTAACACAACCATCTCCCAATTATCTATCCACAGGATCCATTATAATGATCACGCAAAAATACAGTCGCAATTATATACTTGGGCAATTATTGCAACAAACTATAATAGATAAGTGTCAAAATTGGTCATAATTACAAAATATACACATCAGAGTTTCGTGCAATCTTGTGTTGAGTGTTGACATCTATTGTTATTTTTTTATCATATACGGACTAAGATGTTTTTCAAAGATTAGCTATTGCACTTCGAGTTAAATCTTAAATCAGTTTTTTTATTATAAACGTTTTTTTAGTTTTTTTATTATATTTTTATTATAATAGATTTGCCAAAATGTAATTTGTGTGCGATTGAAACAGCTACCCGATTTGTTTATTACTTTTTATATTATTACTAGCTTTACGCACGCGGCTTCGCCTGCATGGTCTTGTATTCTTTACATAGGTATGAAAACCGCATTAAAATTCATTGTGTTGTTTAAAAGATCCTTATGCATAATCATACAAAGGCGTACTTAATGCCTTAGCTATTCCCGGCCAGTCAACCTTTAGGTGATGTGGAAATTAATACATAATGATACAAATACATACTCGTAGTTGAATGAATATTAAACTTAATAGATATGCGATAACAACTTTTACATTTCTGCCTTATTTAATATGAAATCGCGCAACTTGGTTTTAAAAGCAAACCAACTGGGGGACATTCTGATGATTGTGGAAAATGCATTCCATAGGGGAATGGCTTTAACAAAAAAGGAAGAGTGGATGATATCAGAGTAATGAGCAGGACACATAATTAGTCTATTAGAAGAAGATCGAAGGTCTGTTGTAGGACTCTTACATAAGTACTATAGTGTGGAATGAGATAGCTTGGGAAATTAGGGTGATTGCGCCAATGAAAATAAGGTGGACAGAGCACGGACATCTCTACTCTTTCGAATAGGCATCAATTTCAAAGGGTAGCGATGGGCAGATACGTGGTCGTATTTACGGAGATTGAATACGAACCGAATCCAGTTGTTTAAAACACGGTCAAGGTTATTAAGTAGATCTGCATTCAGGTCGAGGTAGCACACATCACCATAGTCGATTATGGGGAAAATTTATGTCTGCACAAGCATTGCTTTGATTTTGCTAGGTAGTAAGTTCTTAAAGCGATACAGTGCACGCAACACTCACTTTTTGGTAAATAGTAATCGTCAATATGAAGTGCCAGGTCTTTAACACTAAATGGTATCGAAGAGCCGTCATATCAGGATAGAACGGAGATTATTGCTATGGATCCTACTCATCATCACACAGCTGCCCACAAGTTCAGCTTGACATTAAGCTGGATATAGGGACTAGACTTTGTTTTATTCTATATAAAATAATAGTTTCGTCATAATTAATTTATCTCACATTTACCTGAAATTATCTGCAATAATCTTTCATAGGCAGCAGCCGATGACATTCCCTGTTATATTCGTATAATATCTGTTTCGGTTACTAACCTTAAAGCGCTGCCTTGTTCCCGGACGTCGACACCGTTGATGGCTTCTTCGTTCCTCGACGGAAGCCCCGACATCTTCGTCCAATAGCAGCGCTGGACGGCCAACGCCACCAATCAGGACTGAAGATTATCCATCAACGTCGCTCAAAAGTCAATCGCAATCGTGCTACCGCCGCTAGGATCATTGTTCTGTAACGACAATATGGATTTAAAATTCGAATCACGCAAGAATTATCCGATAAGGTGACAGCAAAGGAAGTACTATCACAATTAGGAACTGTTATATAACTGGGCTTAGTTAGTGGAACGGTTAGCAGTATGGTTTAAACGTTAGCTGCAATAAAAGTTGTGCAAGTTTCCGTTACCACAGGGATGACTGTTAGATTTAACTGTTGCAAATAACAGCAATTGTTTGCAGTGATGCTTGGGAAAAGACCAGAACAATAATTTTTGTTTTCATTGTCTATTGGATGAAATATTTACACATAATTTTAAGCGTAAAATTAATAAGATATACTCGGAAAAGGTATAGAAACTATTTTTTTTTTATTAAACGGCCATATAAGAGCGATGCCGAAAGAAAGCAATAAATAAAATGATGTCGTGCATCTTGCCAAGTTCCTATATTTCGTCACGAGCGCATCTCAGAAAACGAAAATAGTCGTTTAAATATAGTTTCTAAACACAGGAGGATTCGATTCAATCTTTAATATTCTATGAAGATTTATCGTCATGTTATTATCTAGGATGCCTGCCACAGTGTAATCAGGCAACTCGATACTTTTATAACTTCCGAGAAATCTTTGCATATAATATGAATCTGGATTTATAGCTGACGTTACTTAGAAATGGACAAGGCGGTCGCCAGGCTACAGGCGCCATAAACAATGATCAAACCCAATATCTCATTAGCACCAGCGCAAATTATGTCGTGCCTCGATAAATATCAACTGTTTACAGTAAAATGTTTTCGGTTTAACTTTACAAAACATTGATTTAAGAAATAAAATAAATTAATAAAATCCTATTAATATTATAAATGTGAAAATTTCTTTGTTTGGATGTTTGTCGGTCAAACACGCCGAAACTACTGAACGGATTTTGATGAAATTTGGTGTACAGATAGGGTATTAGCTGACTTAGATAATAGGATACTTTTTATCCCACTTACCATTTCCCTAGGGTCCACGCGGGTGAAGCCGCTAGCGAAAGATAGTACTTTAATAAAGCTCAAACTACCTAAAAGAGAAAGACACGAAATCTCAAGGCTGGTGACAATTGTGACAAATGAAGGCTCACTGCACGAAATAGAGCGTCTAACGTTATTCTCAATTTAATTAATTACACGCAAAACACAATTATTGTTAAATCTTGCTATATACCATCTCCGTTATTTAGTAACTCATCTTAATTCCTCAATTTTCACTACGAACTAAAAGAAAATAATTATTAATGAGAAGAAATTTAAAATTTCACATTTTCACCTACAGCAGGAACCGTACCCAGTTTCCTCATTATTAATTAAAGTTTATTTGTACTTTATCTTCACAGTCTTTTCTATGACTTCAAGGTAAATATAAGAGTAAGGTTACAGAATTTTTAGACTATACGAGAGCAATAAGATAATACTCAAATCTGCTGATTCACTACTGTATCACTAATGTATGTATTATAATACTTGTGTTTTTACCGATATCGATAATATTAATAGAGATACAGATAAAAATAAATTCAATGGTGAATATAAGAGAAAAACATTCAGAGAGCGGCCTGTTGCATGAGCGTCTGCTTACCAAAAATAATCCTTTGTTTATATACGTAAATGTCAAATGCCTGCGATGACCTCGACTCGTTGCTCTCCTAACAGTTTCGGTCATTACTCATTAGTATTATGTAAACGTGAATTACATACTATTAAAGCACGGAACATCATAATTTTGACATCGTTACATCATGATATACGGCAATTAGACTGAAGACGACTCGTTCATAGTATATTCGGCAAATATTTTTATTATATTACAATACATAACACATTTATTTATTAATTTATTAGCTCTCCGCCAGCGGCTTCGATCGCGTGGTCCCTAGGGAACTGTTTATTTGGATATCGATTCATATGAATTACAATGACAAATTGAAAAGTAAACAATAGTTACTATGGTAACGTTTTAATTCCACATACCACTCCAATTTTCGCCAATTTATTTGCTGTTTTTCTGTTATGGGCGTTTGTGCAACTGGCTGTTAAAGTATTAATTATAAAATATCAATAATATTTTTTCATCAGAATAGAACTTTTTCATTTGGACCTTCTTCTTCCGCAAAAATTCATGGAAGCCACGCTTCTGTCGTAAACGATCGGGGAATTCTTTTATCTGTATCCAAAATAAGAAATCCGGTCACTGGGGGCTGGGCCAGGTCCCTACTCGATCCTACCTCCTTCCTCCAAAAGTGAGGGGCATTATGAGGGATTTAGTAGGTATTTTGTCCGCGATTTGTTTAGCCTTAGGGCGGGTCCGTGTGGATGGAGAGTACCACGCATCGTCTGTCGTCTGTCAAGCGGCAGGGACAGACAAAGAAATACTACCACAAAAAAAAAAGGAATTCGGTCCCAACACAGGATTGATTTATCCTTGTGCATAATGTTATGTCTCAGGAGATGAGTGGCGTTTAAATAAGACAAAATTCATCAAAACTCCACTTGAAATCGTTTTGGATCAGGCGGCTTACACGATTTCTAAGAGAAGAAAGATTCTGATAATATCGAAGTTGTTAAGGTTGTTTCTTTGTGTTCTACACAAACAGGCACTTCTTAAGGGGAGTCATAAATTTTGGAAAATATACTTTAGTATTTGAACAGTGTCGTAATAATCACTACATAGTTTAAAACAAAGTCGCTTTCTCTGTCCCTATATCCATATGTATGTTTAAATCTTTAATCTAAGCAACGGATTTTGATAGGGTTATTTCATAGATAGGGTGATTCGAAAGGAAGGTTTTATGTATAATACAAGACCGCGCGGGCGAAGCCGCTGGCGAAAAGCTAGTGTTTTATATTCAATAAATACTCGCTACCGACCAAGGTAGAGATACATGTCTCAAAATCGATTGAATCTGCGCAAAATCTAAGTACATTGAACTAAAAAATAGGTAATAATTCAAAAGTAATATTATTTTTTAAAGGAACAAAAAAAATACAATAGAATTGCAACCCAGCAATAAAACCTTTTTGTAAAAAGTAGAACCGACTTCAAACTTTAAAAAAGTGATAAATAATACTTAGCTCAAAAGCGACTCATGCAAGAAAATGCTATTGAAGTCGGAGGTTTTCTGTATTAATTGAATAATAGGCTTAATATGCTTTTAAGTGATATTGATATTTTTATTGTAATAGGTAACACTAAAAATATTAAACGAAATTTAAATAAAAATATACAACATAGTGAAACTCTTAGAGTAGGAGAATTTGTTTATTTGCTCGACATAATTTTTTCCAATAATCTATATTCATATTTTAAAAAGGAAAGATTTGATTGCTTGTTTGTTTGCATTGGATAGGTCCAGAAACTATTGAACCGATTTATAAGTCTTTCATTTACGGAAAGCTACATAATACGCGATTGATATTGATACCTACTATCTAAGACTTTTATAAAAAAATATACATCAAAAAGTAAAGTAAACATACTCATTGAACATACAAAATCTTCCTTATAGATTTTGAATGAATTCTAAATACACAATCTTTTGGTTTTTAGCTGAAACGCAATAGCATGTCATAACATACCAAATGTGACAACCACCACGATTCATCAAGTTGTCGAATAAAAAAAGAGTTGAAAGTCTGTCAACAATTGACGAAAATGTTGGTGAAAATACATTTCAAAAAATCGCCGTCGAACATATAACCTCCTTTTCGATTTAGACATCGGTTAAAAAAATACATTATGGCGGAAGACGATTCATCTGAAGTTTGTTCATTAATTTTGTCTATTTAAATGAAATAACGCACAGATTAATCTTTCAAGAACTACGACAGTGGTTTTAAAATTTCTTTTCTCCTATTAACTGTCAAAAAATAAAAATCAAATCAATAATTATATTTAGAAGCTAGTGTATTTGCCACAATCAACAAGTTTTTTTTTGTCAAATCGTGACGATTTCAAGAATTTGCTTTGATGGCTTTTGATGGCAAGAGGCTTTGATCTCTCGCCTGTCATATAAATAATCTTACTAAAACGAAACATCTCAAGCCCTGTTCAATAAAAATAGACAGATGGTGACAGACTATAGTCGAAATGAAACACCAAACCATTCACAATTGGTTACCTACTAGCAAACCATTACGCCGACGCCAATTGCACTATTCAACTATTGAGTATTTTCAAGTGACTCAAACAATTATCAATTTTCACAAAATAATAAAATAATGTAATTACGAGATAAACTATAGTTTATGGTTAACTTTAAAAAGATAACTTTGCAATATACCTTGTTGAACAGTTACATAGCTCTTTGTCTAATTTCAATACTAAGTAATATTTTTTGTATTAATATTTTAAGTAATTTTTATTGTATTGTATTCCTTCTCGTCAAGTCTTTATACTTAAAAGTAGTGTTAATATTAACCTATTTTATCATTCAGTTCAATTTCATACAATAGACCTTCGTGACGACAAAGCGACGTTCAATCATTGCGTTTTATTAGTTGGTTAAGTCAATTCTAAAATGAATATTTTTTGTTTCTTCAGTAACACTAGAACGGTCAATTGAAAGATTGCTATCTTTTGTCTCGGTTTCTATTTCAATTTATCTCACAATTAGTCTTTAATTAATTCGCATTTTATCTTAAAATACGACACCTCTTTCAAAATCCGAAAAAAAAACTGTAGTTTTAAAAACACCGTTAGCACAGCTCCTGCACCATGCACATCAAATTATCACTAACCCAATAGAAACACATCTGGTTACATTAATTAAGGATACGAATCTAATATATTTACAACAGCTATAAATCCTCATTCTTCAAATCAAAACAGATTGTCTGTTGACCTCGATCAATTGCTTTGGAATAAGACAATATACATATACCCACCCGCATAAAGTTTTAGGTCAGTCAGTATCATTGTCGATGGTGTGGGTTTTGTTTCAAATATAAATTGCATTTAGGACCTTCTTTTGGTCAC